AAATGGAGATGAGATAGAGACAGGTGGAGGGTCAGCGGTGAGGAAACTTAGGGCTGGGGGCGCCGGAGTATCGGGGAGGGAGGAGATTTGGGGCCGGTGGATGGGGGAAGGGAAGGCCGGCACCTCCCCCACCTCCTCTCCCCCCTCCCCTGGGGGAGGGAAGAGAGGGAGGGTCCCAGGGGCCCGTGGAGCGGGGCGCTCACCTTTCCGGATGGAGCCATCAGGGGAGGGTGTGTAGTCGGTGAGGAGGAAGCAGGCTCGGTCCCGGCTGTAGCGGCTCCGGCTCCCGGGCGTGATCGGGCTCTTGTCTTCCGGGGACATGGCGGGCTGGTCGATGGCCGGGCAGTCCTCGTGGGCGAGCGCGGCTGCTGCTGGGTCCCCATTGGGGCGGGGATCTGCATCCCCAGGGGCAGACAGACACAGAGGAGAGAGTGAGGTGTGGGAACTCGCGGTGGGAGCGCAATCAGCGGGGAGAGGGTGTTGGCGGACTTGGGCGCCGCAAGTAGATGACCGGAGGGCAGGGTGTCGGAGGGGACGGCGGGAAGGGTGTTAGGGGGCGTGGCTGGTAGGTCTCGGGAGGAGGTCACGGGGAAGGGTTAAGTACTGGGAAGGATTGTAGGGGGCTGGGAGGTGTTTGTCCAGGGAGCGGTGTTGGGCTCTGGAAAGGACACGATGGGGAAGGGTTAAGAAGGTGACAGGTGAGGGAGGGGGAAGTAGGGGTCCCCCAGGCTCTGACTCGAGCTATTTTTAATTGGTGTGAAACTGGGTCAGTGGCTGAGGGAGCACGATGGGGGCCAAGCGGCCCGGCTCCCTTTCTTGACCTACTTAAGATACGGGGGTGGGGCCCTCCAGCCTCTCCCTCCTCCCAGACCCACGCCCCAATCACTGCCTCTGAGGCACTGACTCCCCCAGGGCCGCACAGGTACAGTCGAGCCCTCTCCACCTCCCTCACGTCTCGTCTTTCTCTTGGCACAATCTCTCCGGATCTCTCAGATCCCTCTGCAAAGCCAGAGCCTAGGCCCTGGGCCCCAAGTCTGGTCACTCTCGGAGCCTCTGTCCCCTGGCCTCTCTCAGTTTTTAAAGTGGGGTCACCTCTCTAGGTCTCATTGTTATTCAAACTTGAACTCTGCAGCTGAGCCCCCGCCCCTCGCTCCTCTCTGTCCTCTCTGTCTTCCTGCTTTGACAATCTCTTGGTTCCAGACTGTCACCTTTAGACTTTTCTCAGGTTGTCTCAGGGAGACACAGAGGCTGCAGCTGTCCCTCCGCTCCTCGTCTCTGGCCAGCCCGTGAGACCCCCCTCCCTGTGTTTATCTCTCTGAGCCCTCATTCTTTCTCTCTTTCTCACCCTGGGCTGCTTACTCCGCCTCCCGGGTCCCCCTGAATACCTCGACTGCGAAAAAACAGTCTCTTTCACATGAAATCTCTGTCTCTGTATTTCCGTGCCATTTCTCTGGCCTCAGCAATGGCTGCTGGCTTTTCTGTCTCCCCTCTCTCTTGCTAACCACCCTCTCTGAACGAACCCCCCCGCTCCCCCTGGAGACCTCCC